GCACCTGTGGATGTAGCCGCTGCTCCTGACAACTTCTGGAAGCTTCCACAGGCCCACAGAATGACGGGCAACAGCACACATGGAGGTGGCTGTGCCAGTTGGTTCATTGGCTGGGTCTAGAAAAGAATTTCACCTTGCCCAAAAAGGGTTCAGGTCATTGCTTTCCACTCCTGGGAGGTGACCTCTAGGCCCTTGGACTGTCCTGCCAAAGAGTGTCCTCCCTGCAGGCTTTGGGCCAGACCAGCAAGTCTCACAAGGTGATTCGAGGTGGGCACGTTGAGTCACACGGTAACGTGGTGTCAGCTGGACGTCCGGGGGCTTTTGACTGGGGTCAGTCAGGTAGATGATTGACGGTGGAGGCCCCAGGGAAGATCCTGAGCTGAACGCCAAAGCTTGGGCGAGCTTCCCTAGTTGATAAAACCCCATGTCGCAGGAAGTAACTCTGTCCATGACTCTACAGGGAGAAGACAATGGGAAGCCCGTGTCTGGAACTTTCCTGAACTCTGCCCCATGTGCCTTCTCCCTCCGCACAGTCTAATCTGTCCCTTTCACGAGCTCACTGTGAACACAGCAGCTTTCAGTGAGATCTGTGAGTCCTTCCATCACATTTTGAAAAACTTGGTCTTGGGAACCTCCAAACCTGCAGCTGGTGTCAGAAGTGAGGGTGGACTTGTGGACTGTCCCTCATCTCACAGCGACCCTCTGATTGGCAGAAGCCCATGCAGAGCAGAGTGCTGGATATGTTGGCTGTCACCTTGGCGAGCAGGATTTTGAGAAAGAGCAGTTGATGTCTGTCCCCTCTTATAGGTTATCCTTGTGTAGTTGAGAGAGAGAGAGTGAGCGAGAGAGAGAGAGAGAGAGAGAGAGAGGAGGCTTCCTGCCTCAGCTCAGAGCTCACTGGGTAGCTGCTTCCTGGCAGATCTGTGTTAGGGTGCCACCCCAGAAAGTTGGAGTGAGGGAAAAGGGGAGTGGGGGAGGGTGTGCACAGGAGAGCGCAGTAGAAGCACAGCCTTTGTTCTGTCTCCTGGGATGACTTCAGAGGCTGCCTGAAAATCTTATGTGGATCATGTGTATGGGCGGTGGGAGGGAGAAGAAATGATCCCAAACTCCTGTCTCCTATTGGTCAAAGTAACTGGGGAGATCCCTAACCTTTAGAGAAACTGGAGTGAGGGATGCTGGTTCCCCTCAGTGTGCGTGGCAGGGAGGCAGCCTGGGTTAGAAGCTGCGTTTTGTGGGAGACCTGGCAGGCTGACCTGGGCAGGGCTTTCTGGGCAAGAACTCCTGGGAGCACCCGGCTTCCTTCCAGCTGTCGAACTTCCTAAACGAACATCCAATACATCCTTCTTATGAGGAAGACAGGAGCCTTAAGGACTTTGGTCCCTGGGATGGAACCAGAAGCAGTAGAGTTTGAGCTAAAAACAAAGACCGCCTTAAGGAGGGCCGGCTTTTAGAAAGCCTCACTTGTTTGGGAACCTTCCTAAAATAACACTGTTCGAAAGCTAAGACAAGAGCTCAGTTGTGCAAACCATAGGGAGTTTTAATCTGTGTGCCTGCTTGCGCCTGCCAGCTCGGCACGTGCTCGGAATCGGAGGCCAGTCTCTGGAGGGTTCTCTGCTGGGGTGGTTTGAATGAGGCCTTCATGTAGAGGCAGAACCCGCCCCCACCCCGTCGCTTCTCTGAAGGATGATAGCAGGCTCCAGGGCCCTGAGTGGGGCACTGATCAAACGTGTGGGTCCTTCTTAGGATCTTTTTAATGGGCTGCTCCCTTTTAAATGATGCTCAGTTCTCAGTGGGTGTCTCTGACCTTCTGAAAGAGGAGGCTGCCTCCTGCCCACCCCCATCCTAGGCAGCGGCAGCCAGGGGCCTGGCACCGGGAGGGAGCTGCCACTGTCGAGGAGGGTCTCTTCCTCTGAGCAGCTGCGGCTGGCTGCCCAGAGCTTGCTGGGGAAGTAGGATGAGAGCTGTGGCTTTGATGGGGTTTTCTCTGCCCTGGGGCAGGGGTGAGAAAAATGAAGAAGTCAGGTCACCGCTACCCTTCCTGAAAGGAGATTGGGGGAAGCGTTAGACTGTTTTGGCTCAAATTCTCTTTGTGAGAAGGTTCTGTGAGCCCAGAAAGGATAGGGTCACCTCTGACTTCTTTTTTTTTTTTTTGAGACGGAGTCTCGCTCTGTTGCCCAGGCTGGAGTGCAGTGGCACGATCTCCGCTCATTGCAAGCTCCACCTCCTGGGTTCACGCCATTCTCCTGCCTCAGCCTCCCTAGAAGCTGGGACTACAGGCGCCTGCCAACACGCCCGGCTAATTTTTTTGTATTTTTAGTAGAGACGGGGTTTCACCGTGTTCACCAGGATGGTCTTGATCTCCTAACCTCATGATCTGCCCGCCTCGGCCTCCCAAAGTGCTGGGATTACAGGTGTGAGCCACCGCGCCCAGCCGCCATCTGACTTCTAAGGGTGATCGGACACTGGGTGCCAATAGAGCCTCCCAAGATTCTGCTGCCAGGGGAGGGTGGTGGGGGTCAGTCACAGCAGGAGCTGACATTTTCTGGCAAATGCTGCCTTGTTTGTCATTGTACCCAGAAAAATTAATGGTGGTAACAGGAGCAGTTCCTGTCAGCCAGGCTCGCTGCTAAGCACTTGAGTGCCTTTAAGCCTCACCGCAGCCTTATCCTCACTTCCAAATGCACCGTGCTCTAAACATTGAAAACGTTTTCCTAAGCTTGGCAGCACAGCCAGATGTGATTCGACACAAGGCTATTTGTGGTCTTTATTGATCCCTTGGAGTGAATATGCACACATCGCACTGGGAGATATTGATGTTTGATTAGGAGGTGCTATCCTGGCCCCTGGGGGTTGTTATGTAATAGATGGCATAAGTGCCATGTGACCTGTCTGAGAGCCACACAACTGGAATTTCTAGAAGACATCTGGCCTTGAGGCTTCTGGAGAAGGGACTCGGGACCTATATTCGCCTTATTTTGTAGAGGGGTCATTTGAAGCGTTGGAGTCAGAAAGGGAAGTTGAAGCTGGAATTTGCTCCCAGCTCCGTGAGACCTGAAGCTGGGGCACTTTGCAAGCCTTCAGTGCAAAACCCAGTCTGGCTCTGAGGTACAGGCTCAGTTTGCTCAAAGGAAAGATTTCTCCAGTGTTGCCTGGATTTATGTGGCCATCAGAAGAGCACAAGGTGTGTCAAGTTCATGCAATGCCACCAACAATGAGCAAGTGAACACTGCCACCACGGTCACAGTTGCCATGATGATCTCGCCTGAACCTTACAGCCCTGGGAATGGGTGGCGTCACCCCCATTTAACAGGGATACCCAGGACCCTGGTGACAGGCTCACAGGTGACCCTATTGGGAGGGGAAGTCAGGGATCCAGGCTTTGCCCAAGGTTTGCATCAGTTTCCCCTACACCCCAGAAGGCAGGGGTGACTTATGAAATAAGACTAATTTGGAAGCTGCTGGATAACTAGAGATGGGAGTGACCTGGGCCCTGTCCCCAGGGAGCCCAGTCAAGTTCAGGAGCAGAGCTGCAGCAAGCGGAGGGCAGAGATCACCTAAGACAGCACATCTCCAGGGACCCCTCCAAGTACTGTGAGCCCGGGGGACCCTGGCTGGATGCTGGGGGTGCCTGTGGCCTCTCTCCTATGCACCCTCCCCGTGGCCCTGAGCCCTGAGGAAAAGGCTGGTCCAGGGAGGCCTTGCCTGGGAGGGGTGGAGAGGAAGCAGCTAAGGTTGGTGCTCTCCTGCCAGGAACTGTCAGCACCTCTGGCTTCCAGGCTCCCCTGCAATTTAGGGGAATGGCTGGTACTGGTTTCTGCAAGTGCTAATTTTCAGCTCTTGCGTTCATGTGGAACCTAAAATTAATTAGCTCCGACATGAGCTCCAGCCTGAGTGCATAAAAAGGATCCTCGTTAGGAAAACGTCTCCCTTTGGTTGACAGGAGGCTGGCAGCTGGAAGTCAGATCTGTGGAGCAGTAATGGTGCAGAGGTTGGGCCAGGACAAGTCCCACTTGCCCCTAATCCTTCAGCTCATGCTTGCCTCCCCGAGAAAACTGGGTGCTTCCAAAACTCATTACCACCCCGCAGGTGTCCCTGAGTGTGGCCCCAGTCGCAGGCTTTGAGGAGCCCTGGGCTATGCAGTAGGAAACCCTAGAGGATGTCATTTGGACGGGATGTCAGAGAAGACCCATTTAAGGTGACTTAGGTAGTGACATTTAAGGAGGAACCCACAGTAGGAGTTAGCCAAGCCGGGGACAGAGGGAACAGCTATCCAGGCAGGGGAACAACCCTTGCAAATACCATGAGTTGAAAAAGAGCTTGGCAGAGAGCCAGGGTATCTGGAGCATAGAGAATGCAGCAGAGCGTGGTGGAGACCTGAAGGTGGCAAGGGACAGTCTAGACCAGGCTTCGGGGGCCGGCAGGAGCGTTTGAGCTTTATTCTAAGAACTGTAGGGATCTAGAAGGGTTTGGGCAGGGAGAAGACTGGCCCAGGCACCTTCCAAAAAGACTCCCTCCCCCACTGCTCTTTCCAAAGAGGGAAGAATCCCCCAGCCCCTTCGCCGCCCCGCCAACAGCATCGCGCCACTGCCATCATCACTGTGGGTAATTGCTAGGCGTGCCGGGCAAGTGCTTTCTCTTCTGCTGAGCTGGCGGCCGGCAGGCGATAATCACAGCTTTCACCATCCTCCCTCCAGCCAGCCTCCACCCCCCTATCCCCCGCCCTCATATCCTTTATTCGGCAGAGCCCCGAGGAGGCTGCAAAAAGGCTCAGGACCCAAGAACTAAGAGGGTCCTTGGAGGCTGCTGAAGAGGTGACAGGCATCAGGCCAGTCCTTCCAAACATCATAATAAATAATGTTGCTGTCGTTTATAATAAGAGTGATAAGGAGCCAGCATTTGCCAAGCCTTTCCTATGCTCAGGCATAATTGCTTAAATTTCCTCATTGAATCTTATCTTTTTTTTTTTTTTTTTTTTTTGTGACGGAGTTTCGCTCTTGTTGCCGAGGCTGGAGTGCAGTGGCGCGATCTTGGCTCGCTGCAACCTCCACCTCTGTTGATGAACAAGGAGGCCTCCTGCTGCCGCCCCACCAGTCCTGCCTCCTGGCCCGTAGACCGCTCGTGAGGTGAGAGACCACTGCGTCGAGGGTCATCTGCCTGTGACGCTTATCTGCGGACCCCATAGCTGGCCGCTGAAGGCAGCTCCTAGCTGAATGCGGTGTCTGATGTCTCTGTGATGGCTCCCTTTATACACAGCAACTACAGATTCTGCCCCTACGCTCCCAAGAGTAGCACCAGGACTCTTGTAACAGCGCTGTGAGGAAGGGATGGTCAGCCTCATCTTCAGGACCCATCACCCGCGTGGCTTATCCTCAGGCTGAAAAGGGAGATAAGAATGAGTCCTCAAGGGCGTGGATGAAATGTAGAATGTGAGTGGGGCTCCTGGCACAGAGCAAGATCGCTGGAGGTTGTTCACTCCTGATTCCTAAGAACCCTAATGCATCCATCTCTGACATACAGACCTCACTGTCCCCTTCCCTGCCCGACCTCCCACCACCAGCTGTACCACATCTAAGTGGTGGGGGCACAGATTTCTGTTTGGGGGATTCATGTGTATTTTAAACTTTGCCTTCACACTGATTAAGAAAAATCATCCCACTGAATAAATGATCGCTTGCCTCCAGAGTTGGTGAGAAGGGGCAAGCAGATTGATTATCTGCTGCCGGGCGTTGTGTGTGGGGGGTCCTCGGTGCCGCTGTGGCATGTCTATTGATGCCAGGCGGGCAGGAGCACCGGGTGGCTAGGGCAGCCGTGGGGCGGAGGCTGTGATGTCCCTCACCCAGGTGGGGGATGTTCGATTGCAGGTCTGGCTGATTGTATTGCTTTTGGCCGAAGGCCTTCTTGAGACCACTGGGGAGGGTTGGAGTTCAGGCCAGTGAAAATTTTTGGTCTTTCAGGGGTGATTTAATGAAAGAAAACTCAGTGCATCTTGGGTTCATTTAACCATGGAGCCAACAAGGACAGCAGCCCTGCTTCCCTGACCCCCCACATCAGGCATAAATGGATCATGCTGGGGACCAGCTCTAGCTCACCCCATCATGACCCTGAGGCTATGACAGCATATAAGTTCCCAGGAAAAGGGGGACCTCAACGAGAGACGATTTGGAATTACAGAAAATAAAGGCACCTGCATGTTTTTCATGCCAAGCTTGTGTCTGCCTTTTCTACATCACTATGGGGAGGTGTCCTGGTGGGCCACAGCAGCTGCCTCTTCCAGGAAGCCCTCCCTGATGTGCCTTCCGAGACTCCTGTGGCTCACTCCTTCCCTGCCCCTTCTGCTCAGTTCCAGCTTCTGGGTGTTGGGTGCCTGCATTTCTGGCTCAGCCTCTCCCAGCAAAATGTGAGCCCCCACTGTCCAATTAAGTTCTGTATCCCCAAAACCTGCTTACATACAAACTTGCTGGAGCAACCAAACTTGGTCACCCATGGCTCCCGGGAAAGCCCCTGCTTCCAGCCTCCATGCTTTTGCTCCAGCTGTAGCCTGCACCTGTGATGCTGTTCCTGAGTCTTGGCCTCCTCAAACCTAACTCATTTTCAAAGACTACGTAGGTCATCTCCTCCTTAAGGTTGACTTCCTCGCGGCTGTAGGGGAATGGCTCCACCGTGGTGCTCTGGCAACCTGTACTTCTCCATGTCGGCCACATACACACGGTTCAACCCACCTGGTCTAAGCCTTGGCAGAAAGCCAGAAGAGCACCGGGACTTGCGAGGAGCTGCTCCACAGCCATTTCTCTTCCTCCTCCTTTCTTCCAGGCTGGCGGGCAGGAGCCTGGCTCCCATCCCTTCCCGGTTTCCAGTGAAGCATGAGGCCTTCTGCTTTGCCCCACGGGGTAGAGGGACAGTCTACAAAACTGCTTCCCTGCACAGGAAACAGGCTCTTTAGCAATGAGCTGTCCGGCATCCATGTGGCCGTTGCCCGGCCCCTTTTGTTTTTGTGTTGCCCTGCTTCAGGGAGACCTGGTGTCACTGGCTCTCCTGCTTTTGTGATGTAAGTAATCGGTTTTCTGAATCTAAGAAACAACTCTTTGATTCTTTGCCTGCTAGGTCTCTTAACTTCACCTCTTGACACATTCTGCTCCCTCTTCTGGGATCCCAGGACACAGCACTTGTGTCTGCTCCTAAGTTTGTGACACTCCACATCTAGGAACCCCAAAAACATAATCATGGTGAACCACAGAGGCTCCAAGGCTAGGATGGTGGTGGTGGCGACAGTCATATTGATGGCCACGTGGGAGAGCTGAGGATGTGCCAGGTGCCAGAGGCCTTGAAGTGCAACCCTGGGGAGTTGGTACCATTGTCATTTCCATTTCTCTAACATGGCAACAGAGGCACAGAGGGGCTTGATAGCTTGCCCAGGGCCATGCAGCAGTGAGTGAGTGAGTGAGTGATGGAGAAGGGATTCAGGCTCAAGAGGTGTGACTTTGAACCCACACTTGACCGGAATGTGTGTCCATTGTATGCACTCATTTTGGCTGATTCTGAATTCCTTTTTCTTGAAACCCGAATGTTGACCCTTGTCTTAGTCTGCCTGGGCTGTCGTAACAAAATGCCATAGGCTGGGGGACTTAACAGACATTTGTTCTTCCTGGTTCTGGAGGCTGGAAGTCCAAGATCAAGTTGCTGGCTGATTTGGCTCCTGGCAAGGACTGTCTTGCAGATGACCACTGACTTCTTGCTGTATCCTCAAATAGCAAAGAGACATGTATATATGATATACAGAGACAGTGAGAATGAGAGAGAGAGAATGAGAGACAGAATGAGAAGGAGAGAATGAGTGAGAGACAGAGAGGGAGAGAGGGAGGAGGGAGGGAGGAGAGAGTTTTCTGGTCTGTGGTCTCGTCATCTAAGGACACTAATCCCATCATGGGGCCCCACCCTCATGACCTCATTTGACCCTAATCACCTCTTGTCTCAGTATGGGCTGCCACAGCAGCCATCTTCTCCTTATATCCTCTCATGGCTGAGAGAAAAATAATCTCTCTCCTGACTCTTCTTCTAAGGGCACTAATCCCATTTGTTAGGGCTCCACCCTTATGATCTAATTCCTCCCAAAGGTGGTTATGGTTTGAATGATGGTGTCCCCTCCAAAATTCATGTTGAAACTCAATTCCCAATGCAACAGTATTGCCATGAGGAGTCTGCACTCATGGATGGGATTGGCACCCTTATAAAAATGTCTTGAGGTTGAAAGGAGCATTCTTTTGGCCTTCCATCCCTTCTGCCCTGTGAGGACACAGCCTTCCTCCCCTCCAGAGATGCAGCCACAAGGCACCATCTTGGAAGCAGAGAGCAGCCCTTGCCAGCACCTTAATCTTGGATTTCCCAGCCTCCAGAGCCATGAGAAAATAAAATCTAATTTTTAGCAATTGCCAGTCTCTGGTATTTTGTTACAGAAGCACAAGTGGACTGAGACAGACCCTGTCTCCAAATACCATCACACTGGAGATTAGGACTTCAAAATATGAACTTTGGGGGGGACACAAAACATTCAGTCCATAGCATCCCACCCTTGGCCCCCCAAATTCCTGTCCTTCTCACATACAAATACATTCGTTCCATCCCACAGCTCCAAAAGTCTTAACTTGTTCCAGCATCAACTCTAAAGTCTCTCATTCAAAGTCTTATCTAAATAGTATTTAAATCACATATGGGGGAGACTTGAGGTACAATCTACCCTGAGGCAAAATTCCCTCTGACACTGTAAAACTAGACAAATTGTGTGCTTCCAAAATGCATTGGTGGGACAGGGATAGGATAGACATTCCCATTCCAAAAAGGAGAGACAGGAAAGAAGGAAGGAGTAAATGCAAAACCCAAGTAAATATAAAACCTAGCACAGCAAATTCCATTAGACTTTAAAGCTCGAGAATCATCCTGTCTGGTTAGATGCTCTGCCCTCCAGGCCCACTGGAGTGGCAGTTTCAAATCCATAATTCAGTGGGGTGATGCCCACTGCTTTGGCTGGGGGCTGCCTGGCCTGTTGAGATGGGAGTACTGGCTCTGATGATCTCTGAATGGCCTTCAGGGCCATTCTTCCATTTTCTTGAAGAAAGCTGCAAGTTTGCCACCAAATAGCTTTATCATTCTGTCCTATAAAAGCCAAGAAGTCCCACAACCTTTCTTCATTCCATCCAGTCTCTGTCTCCTTCAGTTCAAACTGGTAGTGTTTCTGCTGGATGGCTGATAAAGTCTATGGTTCATACTTGCACTAATCTTCTTATCAAATAGTCAGTCAGCCACACACTTCGTATTCTCTTCCAAATGTACTTTCTCATTTTTTGCGCTATGAATAGCCTGAGAATTTCCCAAATATTTAGGTTCTGCTTCCTTTCCGCTTAACACTTCTTCCTTCATTTCTGTGTTCTTATATTTTACTAGAAGCAATAAGGAGGAACCAAGCCACGCCTTCCACACTTAGCTTAGAGAGCTCCTCATGTAAATATCCAATTCATTGCTCATGGCAATTTCATCACTCACAAGTTCTGCCTTCCACAAAGCAATAGGCCACGAACACAATTCTGCCAAATTCTTTGCCATTTTATAAGAAGGATCATTTTTCCTCCACTGTCAGATAATTTCTTCCACATTCCTGTCCAAGACCTCATGCAGAAACTCTCTTAAATTTCATATTTTTACCTATATTCTGTACTCTCTTAATAATGTATTCTCTAAGAAGACAGGCATTTTCTCTACAGCTCTCCTCCTTTTTTTTTGAGATGGAGTCTTGCTCTGTCACTCAGGCTGGAGTGCAGTGGTGTGATCTTGGCTCACTGCAACCTCTGCCTCCTGGGTTCAAGAGCTTCTTGTGCCTCAGCCTCCCAAGTAACTGGGACTACCGGCATGCACCACCATACCCAGCTAATTTTTGTATTTTTAGCAGAGATGGGGCTTCACCATGTTGGCCAGACTGGTCTTGAACACCTGACCTCAAGTGATCTGCCCACCTCAGCCTCTGAGAATGCTGGGATTACAGATGTGAGCGACTGCAACCTGCCTCTTCTTCTCTTTGAGCTCCACCAGAGTCACCTTTAACAGTCCTTTCAAGGCAATATTAGCTTTTTCTAGCCTCTCAAAACTCTTCCAGTCTCTACCCATCACCCAGTCCCAAAGTTGCTTTCATGTTTTTAGGTATTTACTACAGCACCACCCTGCTTCATGGTATCCATTTCTGTCTTACTCAGCTTGAGCTGCTGTAACCAAATACCATCGACTGGGTGACTGAAACAATAGATATTTATTTCTCATTGTTTTGGAGGTTGAGAAGTCCAAGACCAAGGTGCTGGCAGATTTGGTTCCTGGTGAGGCTGCCCTTAGGGTCTGCCCTCTTGCTGTATTTTCAAATGGTGGACACACACGCACACACACACACACACACCCGGGGTGGTGGGGTGGGTAGGGGGAGAGAGAATGCTTTTCTGAGGGCACTGATCCTTTTATAAAAGCTTCACCCTCATGATTTCATCTAAACCTAATTACTACCCAAAGACCCCATCTCCAAATGCTATCACATTCAGGATGAGGGCTTCAGCATACGAATTTGGGAAGACACAGTTGTTCAGTTCATAGCAGCCCCATCACCAATGCTTTGTCCTGCCTGACTTTGAATTTTGGCTTGGATTGGCT